TCCTTGTTTTTCTTTGCCGGTGTATGTGATTTCTGCTTTTTCTATGCACAGAATTAGAGAATTTCAGAACATTCTGAGCTGGAAAAGACCTATGAGGATCATCAAGTTCAACTTTTCTCAATCCACAAGTTTTCTATCTTTTACCTTTCCTCATCTTTACGTGCTGGTGGGGGAATCACTGAGCAGCTACGCTGAGTTTGGTTGATGGCTGGGTTTAAAACAACACAGACCTATAAATATATGACAAATTATCTATTTGTGGATTTTTTTTCTAATGCAACAGAGAAATGCCTGGAAAGAATATTAAACTTGATCTTTGTTCCTCATATACAGTGACAGAAGCACTCATTATTTTGTGAGATTTCAGAAAATCATCTCAGTCAAATGTTGTCTTTCTTGTGGGTGAATACAGATGTAGGCTCATGTACTCTTACATAAGAAAGAAAGCAAGCAGAATGGCCATGACTGAATAGTTATGAAACATGAAGCAGTTAGTGCTTCCTCTAGAACTTCTGACTGGTATTTAATCAAAATACAGTATTGTCTAACCCGGGCAGCAGATGTAATAAATAATTAACACATATCCTACTGCATTTTCTGCTTGTGGTTGATTCTATCATACTTTGAGAATGTCATTAATTGTCTCTCACTTTTTTTCAATCATGACTCCTGCAATCATGACCAAGTTTGCTCCAGCCAACCTTCTGACAGGGCTTAGTCACCAGTGTATTCATGGGAATTTTAAAGCCTAGAGCAATGGGATGTGAATTAATGATTATACTCAGCGTAATCAATCCAAGGCTTTTCTGTGAATTCTAAGCCTTTAAAGTCTAAAAAAAATATATAGATTTTTCTTCTGGTATTAGTTTAGAAGACTTGTTGATGCAATTTTTGATGTTATTGTACAAACAACATGTGAACTATACCAGAGACTGTAATGTTTTTTTCACATAAATAATTGCCCAGAGCTGGCCAGATCGCTGATGAGGTCTCCATTGCTCTCTCATAGCAGAGATAGATGATAATAAACAGAAAATAAATATTAATGAGGTTAAAAGAAAATTAAGGAAGGGACTACTTTCTCCTCCCCTTCAGTTCACATCAACCACAAACTAACAGTAAAAGAATTACATTTTAAATTAAATTGTTTTTTGATAAACAGCACTGCAGCATAATTTCAGTGCAGTTCCATAAAATTGTCAGTTATTCTATGGAACTTTTGGTACCAATGATTAACATCAGAATGACAATAATTTCAAAACTAATGTACAGTGTTTTCCTTGTAGAAAGTAATCCCTTCCCGGGGTAATACTTCTACAATGACTTGCATCTGATGTTATAATCAAGATATGTATTTACTCAGCCCTCTGAAAACTTCAGTTTCATTAATAGTCATTCTCTGTCATCATTAGAGAGGTTCTCTAATCTAGCATTAACAAGAAATTCCTGTTATATAAAATAAAATCAGCAGCAGTCATAATAACAGTAGTAGTAGTAGTAGTAGTAGTAGCAGCAGCCAGAAGAAGAAGAAGAAGATGAAGAAGAAGAAGAAGAAGAAGAAGAAGAAGAAGAAGAAGAAGAAGAAGAAGAAGAAATGTTTATGTGTTTATAGAAATTGTGATCATCATAATATACATGTGAAAATCTGAATTCATAAAAGCTTTTGTAAAACTGGGGAGGTTTTACACAGAGAAATAGGTATGCAGAAGTGAAAATTTGCATGGAAACTCCCCAATTCCTCTTTATTTCCATTCACTGCAACAATTTCCTGTAATAATTTTTAGTCACAGCTGACTTGATGTGTATAGAGGGTTTAATTATGTTTTCTGCAACACTTCAGTTTTAAAGAGTTTAAAAAAAAAGCCCCTGCTCTTACTGGAGTACCAATTTCTGGCAGGTTCTCAAGTGATGATTTAGTAACTTGCTGATTTACAACAGTAGAGACAGTTACTAATAAAATAAAGATGTCTCATAGCTCTAGTGGAAAAAACTTACAGCAGTACTTGCTTTAATCTTTCATTTAAAACTCACACTTGACCTTATACGGTTACTTACTAAGGCTGTGCACTTCAAACTTCTTTCAACTACATTGGAAGCTCAATTCTTTGGGAAAAGGAAAGTATAGGAAAGCTCTAAGCAGCACTACTACAAAACTTTTAAAATATTTGGAATTTCAGCATCAATTATTACTTCTCTTGCTTGGAAGTGTCACTGTTCATTTTCGGGGGAAACAAACAAAATAAGACCCTAGAAATAAAATTTCATATTTTAAAAGAAAATTTAAAATATTTAAAATATTAAAAATGTTAGCTCCCAAAACCTAAGAAATTCAGAATCATTTTATTCAAAAGAGGAATATTGCAAATTTTTAAGACAGAAATAATTTTAAACACATCAATTTTTGATCTAGGAAATTTTCTTCGGACTACTGACTTAGTAATATTACCAATAACACTTCAAAATGACTTTTAAAGGTCTTTGATTTTGTCTTTTCTTACTGGGCGCTGACCTTAAAGGCAAAGCAAAACTTAAGTAGTCAGGATCTAATACTACAGAAAGAACCATAAAATTAAAATGAGAAAAAATATTAATATAGAAGGAAAATTAAAACCTCGTCCTATTGTGTTTGATGATTGGCAGCCTACTGAAAAATCTAGCCATCAAAATTCATTCAAGACATTCAAACTTTACCTGATTTTGTAAATGGGTTTAAGTACATTAATGCCAATAGTAGAAGCACCTACTGAAAAAGATTTCAATTCCTGGTTAACACTACAAGAAAAAAGGAGTAAAGTTCAAGTAAGTAGATAATGGCTCATGCATGGATCTACCATAATAAGTAATTATGAAAAACCTTTTCTCCTAAGGTAATTTTTTTGAATTGTAATATGGTAACAAAATTTGTACCATAATACTTAAGATGTAAACTGTCACTTCTAAAACAAACTACCTCTTCTACAGAAATGTTCACTTCCAAAATAATATATATAGGGATTTTTTTTTCACATTAGATGTTAAAAATAAACAATATGCTTTATGCTGGCCAAGTTTTCTCCATAGGTTAGTGTTCATTGTTTATTTTAAATAATTTAATTTATTTTTCCCATAATAATGTAACCTGCCTGTAGCACGGGCAGAGTTCTTGTATTTTCAATTCAGATCAGTGTTTTGACATAGTAGTTAGGATTTATTCCTAAATAAAAATACTTTGCATTTAAAAATAGTAGCATATACAGGAAAAACTCTGTTATTCAATTCAACCATTTGACATAGGATTTTGCCCTGTTTTTGAGATGTAGCTGAGAAAGTGAATAGGTAGTGAATGTATTTTATACTTGATTTGTTTCATCCTTCAGAATTCTATATTGGAAAGAAGCTTGAGCCTCTTCCTCAAACCTTGCTTCCGAGATTGTAAGAGTGACCTCTAGTGCTTTACTGCTTTGCTGTGTGATGCAAGCTTTTCTTTGCAATGGTTTTAATATGCCTCCCTGTAAGGAACTGATTTAGTTTCGTGCATAGTGCCAAATGCTATTAATGTGCAATTCAATTATCATGGTCTTGTGAAAATGGATGTATTCATAAACTGTACAATGCAGAATGATGAAGAGAATTAAAGCTGTGACTGGATTGCAGCAGGGTGTTTAACATGAGGAACTTAGTATTCATGTTTAGGGCTACACTATGCACTTGAGTATCAAATGAGATATCATTACTGAATGACAGCACAAGATCATTTTGGTGCTGCAGTGTGAATGTCTGGCTCATGGGAGCATGTTTAGTTTACAAACCATCCATATGCAAAACCCTAGGCTATAGATCTACTGAGCACTTCAAACTTCTCTGCCATTGCTCAAATGTTTCTAGGGAGCTGTCCCCTGCCACTGGGCTATAAGGTTGTTCCTGAACATTCCTCATTGCTTTGGCATGCACTTTCTTCCCACAGAAGCATTACTTCAGCCCTTCCCATTCCTGTGATGCACAACCAGTGCCTTAACAGGAAGGGGAGAAAATATGTTCAATTCAGGTTATGAGCATCTGGCATTTAGGCTACTGCACTACCACAGAACACAAAATGAAATCCTCCAGCTTGTTGAAGCTGAATCAAATGGAACAAAAATAACTCAGTTCTATTACTGAATTATAAAAGCCCTGAAAATTAATTTCTTAATAAGTTTTTTCCTTTTTTATTTAAAGGTAATTAGTTTAAATCAATACCGGAAACAGAATTTTTTCAGGTACACATATATATGTGTGTGTGTATGTGTATCTATCTTTCATCTATGTATATATGATTTGCCTCCTAGAGAGCAGATTGTCCTTAAAAATGTAATCACAGTCTTTATTCTGTGATACCACTCTATGGGTTAACTCATTAAAAAAAAACCAAAAAACAAAAAACAACCAAACAAAAAACTTTCTATTGCAACTGTTAGCATTCTCTTCTGTAGTCATGCATGAACAATACTCCCTAAGCAATCAATGCAGAGACCTTAGAGCCTTGCTACCCACATTTTTCCTTGTTACATTTCTACTGCTTTTGAACTGCACTGTGATTGCCATTCAAGTTGAGTGCCAGCTTAATCCAGGATATGCAGATACCAGCTTTCAAAATTTCCAAATGCTAAAATCCACTACACAATAGAAACATTGCACAATAGAAGTCTGCCAGTAATTTCCACATAAGACACAATTCCTTGGAAAATACTGCACTTCAAAAGAGAAAACAAAATTAAAATACATCTGAACATGCATCCCTTAGAAAATGCTACTTTCAGATACTCTTATACAGTAAGCTTTATAAACAACATTCTGTACACAGACTCATGACAAAAATCTATAGAAGAGTTTTAGAAAATTTTTAGGCTAGCAGCTTGATGTCATGATTTCAAAGCATAAATGTTCATCTCAAAAATTATATTTATTGTAATGCAAAAAAAAAAAAAAATCCAGAAGTTTTCAACACACTCTGGATTGAGTTTTAAAGCATATGCAATACTTACATTTATTCCCTGCCACTGCCATGTGCTGGCGATGAACAGACAGGAGAAAGAGCAGCTTCAAGAAGATTTCAGTGACAGAATCCATGTTCACAATCATTGAGGCACCCAAAAGAACCAGAGTACTCGGAAACAGCTGCGCTGTACTTCAGTTCTGCTCCTGCCTCCTTCCCACTGCCTCTCCCCGCCTCTTCTCGCAGCGCTTCCCAGGGGTCTTGCACCTCAGCCAAGCGCGCTCCGCATCTCCTGCCGCACGCACGCTCACCTCCGCATCTGCTTCTCGGTCTCGCAGCAGCAAGCCGGGAGGAGCAGCAGCGAGAGAGCGAGAACCTCGCCCCCAGCAGTGCCACAGAGGCACCGGGGCTTTGCCGGCAGCCGGCTCCGCTCGGCGCTGCCGGCTCCGCTCGGCGCTGCCGGCTGCGCTCGGCGCTGCTGCCGCTGCGGCTCCGCGCGGCGCGGACACCCCCGGCGGCGGCCCCGGGGCGGCGCTGGGCGCTCCGCCTGCCCTGCGCCCCTGCGCC